CTGCCTCTTCTTCCGCCCATGAGGTGGCCGGCACTTTCTGATTTCGTCCGGTCTGTCACTCTCTGTGTCTGCATACCACCACCTAACAAAGAAAGCGCAGAAGAGAACCGAATCATCTTGACACACAAAAATTAAATTTAAAAATAAAAAGAAGACAATAATTTTTATTGCTGCCGCAAAATTTACAATAGAATTTCGAATTTCATGTGAGCTCTGGGGGTCGAGATTTTCCAAAAGAATAAAAAGTAAATTCATATCTTGGTCAAGGAAAAATTTGTGGATGACATTCATCTTTAGATGAGAAAAAAATCTTTGATTATTTTGAGGCCAAAATTCATACTTTCCTATTGTTGTCTTCTCATATTAAGTGCCAAATAAAAAAGTTTTGTCAAAAATTAAAACATATATGGTAAAATGGATTTTAGTTATAAAAATTTAATTTAGGCTTCTCAAATGCCTTTAAGGGACATTCCACAAAACTTTTTAATAGTTCTGGTTATTTGTATCTTACAAAAATGTAAGACTGGCAGAACATCTGTGTAATACCCAATGAAGAATATGTATTGTGGCTAATACCAATCTCATAAATGTCATTTATGGTAATTACATACATACACACATACAAATGTATGTTTGTACTGACATGCCACCATAGGCGTATGCCATTTGAGAAACCAACCACCAAATACGCCTCGAGAGTAGCAGCAATCGCAGGCTATGCTATTAAACCACAACTGATTTTGATCGATTTGTGGTTGCTCTGCTTGACTGGTAGTTATTGTTATTAATATCCGGCATCAGGTAATCCATACAACTACTTCCTAGAGTGGAATGTCATTGATCCACCAACAGAGATATCAATTGAATGAATGGAAGTCTTTTCGCAGGTCTTATAAAATAAAAGGTCTTTTGTAGAACTTCTATGGATGAAGTTTACAGATATAATATGTATAGAAAATCTTTAAAAGGCCTTATCGGAATAGAAGTTCTTGTTAAAAGTCCCTCTGCAGGTCCTTTATGAACAGAGGGCCTTGAATTGGTACTATTATGGATCGAATACTTTCGAGGTTTTTTTATGGATGGAACCCCTTCTACATGTCCCATATTAAGATAAGACCATCCACATGACTTATTTTCAGGTCTTCAGTGGATAGGAAAACTTTAACATCTTCTCTCAGAATTAAAGACCTAGAGGTCTTTTAGCATTTCCGGCAAAATGTATTAAAAGGGAACGCCATGCTTGTGTGTGTTCTCTACGATCTGAAGACAAACTGATCTTCTCGGAGAAGATCAACTGCTCTTTTCGGAGACGACCAACTTCACTTCTCGGAGAAAACCAAACTGCTCTTCTCGGAGAAGACCAACTTTTTTTCTCGAAGAAGTTTTTTTATGAGCAAGGTTTCCAGTAAAAAGAGACCTTTCCTCATCAAGAATACTGGATTCAATATTGTGGGATTGCAAAAAAAAATCTGCGTGAATTTATGGTATAATAACAAGAGTTCTGATTAGTTTACCCACTAGCGGGAAAGAGATTTTTATGAGAAGTTTACTCCCAACTCATTTGTATTTTGCTCTTGTTTGAAAAAATAGAGTGGGGGTTGAAACTACTTGAATCAGAGTAAGAATTTACTCAAGATGGGGCTGGTTACAAGAGATGTACAATAGCTCGAATTTATTATTGAACCGCTTCTTTAACATTCCACTGAAGATTTTCACCCCAAAAAAATCCTATCGGTCATTCAGTTCGAGACGACATGCCAAAAACACTTTTAAGAAAATGAATGTTTTCTGCTTTCCAGGCCACCCTCCTCCAGCCAGCATTTGCTGATGTAAATCTGTTTCTTCTCAACAATGACGTAATATTTATCTCCGTGATTTTGTTTTTGTGACCCACAAATTTTGCAAAGACACAAAAAAACCAGATTCCGTCTTTGATAGTTCTTTTTTTTGTTTTTGTTTTATTTTGAGTCAGCTGCTTGACTCGAAATTAACATGTTTGTGTTGGCAAAATCTGTGTTTTTTTTTTGTTCGCCTTAATTTAAAATTTAATTTTTTATTGACGTCACGGTTTGACTATAGCTTGCTATTGTTATCGGCGGGCGTCTAATGTTGTTGTTATTAAATTTGTAGTTAATTTTTTAATCGATCGACCACAGAGATTGCTTTGCTCAACCAACCAACCAAACGACCGACCGAGCGACCGCACCAACCCACCGACTTGTTCTCTGTTGAAGTGTCGTTTTTATTGTTGTGTTTCTCTGGCGATTTTTAGGTGTTTTGTTTTTCCGTTTTTATTATTCGATTTTTTTCTGTCGAGTTTGAAATGAATCATTGCTAAAAATATTTGTTGCTCGTTGGCTGGCTGACTGGCTGGTTGTTTGGCTGGCAAAATTGTGACTTGTTGAGTGTTTTTTTCTGTTTTTGTTTCGTGATGTGGGCCGCACTTGTTTCTCAACGGAATGTTGTCTAATGCAGAAAATATCAATCAAAAGGGGAGAGGAAGGGTGTGCAACTAAGAGATCATTTATCTATCATTGTGGCTCGGCAAGAGAAAAAGGTTTGTCTTCTCTGCAATTGTCGGAGATAAACTGATATCAGAGATATAAGAGAAAGTGATATCTAGCCTCTGTACTTTAATGGAGCACATTGTTGATCAGTCCCGTTTGAAAGGCAGAAATGAGCAAAATAGAACAAGTAAAAAAACTGTAAGTTCAGCCGGGCCGATCTTTGAATATCGTCCATTTGGAACGATTTTGGGAAATTTCAAAAAAAAAAATCCGATAAAAATTCTCTTAAAATCTTTGAAATAGCGAATGCGTTATATTAGGGTCTATACGACGACGTGGACCTGCAACTATTGTCAAACCATTACAATATTCAATATTCCAAACTTGAATAAAAAAAATTCTGTGAAAAATGTCGCTAAAATCATCAAAGTACTGAATATCGGGAGATACCGTTATGTGGAGGCAATATGAAAACGTGGGCTTGCACAGACAATTTTCTATCATAGAATGTAGCATCCGTTGCGAACTTCAAAAAACAAATTTGAAACTATTCCGGTGAATAATGTCGCTAAAATCATCAAAATACCGAATATCGGGAGGTACCGTTATATGGGGGCTATACGAAGATGTGAACCTGCACAGACAATTTTCTGTCATAGGCTGTAGTACCCATTACGAACTTCATATATAAAATTTGAAACATTTCCGGTGAATAATGTCGCTAAAATCATCAAAGTACCGAATATCGGGAGGTGCCGTTATATGGGGGCTATATGAAGACGAGGACTTGCACAGACAATTTTCGGCCGTACGCTGTAGCATCCGTTAAAAACTTCAAATATCAAATTTGAAATAATTCTGGTTAATAATGTTGCTAAAATCATCAAAATGCCGAATATCGGGAGGTATCGGTAAATGGGGCTATACCAAAACGTGGACCTATGTACATCACCCATTCAATACCAAAATACCTGCAGACATAATACCCATTTGAGTAAAATTTGATCAACCTACTTCATTTCGTTCGGAAGCTAGAGTGATTTCCACAGGCGGACAGAAGGACGGACATCGCTAAATCGACATATAATTTTGTGCTGATCAAGAATATATATACTCTGTGGGGTCTAAAATGTATATTTCGAGGTGTTACAACGGAATGACAAACTTAATATATCCCCCATACTATGGTGGAGGGTATAAAAAGAAATAATTTAAGGAAAAAAGATAATTATTTTTTGACTGTTTTATTATTGTTTTTAACTTTTTGAAAAATTAATATTTTTTAAAATTTAGGTCCATTTATTTTATAACCCGACAATTTTTACTGAGTACATTTTCTCTTTAAGAATTTATAAACTCTCAGTAACTAAGCAATGTAAACTGTGCAATTTGTAAAATTTACAAATATTAAATAAATATTCATGCCTGGTTAATAGAAACATTTCTCTCTCCAGTAGAAATCACCTCCCATGCTCTCCCACCCACAGTGGCAATTTATTTTCGTTTATATAAAATGGAACAATGCGCTTTTCTCTTTAATTAATTAGGAAGCTATTCATTTATAATAGAAAAAACCGACAACGCCAATAATTACTTTATAATTAACAATAGTTTAAATCAAATGATGATATAATGGATATTTTTATTTAAAACAAATCATCTCAGTTTTATGTTATCAAAAAAAAAAAAGAGTGGAGCGGCCAACAACACTTGAAACTTGTTCAAGTGACACTTGAGTTCCTCACTCCCTCTCCCCTCTCTCTCTCTACCACCACTACTTTGATTATCACATAATTACTTCAAACATTTTTTTTAATTGAGACACAAAACAGAACCAGAATCCAAATAATAGAAACCTGACAAAAAATTTATTTTTTGAAACTTTAACCAGATGTCGAATAACTACCTAGCTCCCTATGTATGTAGGTATACACGTACAAATGTGTGTACAAATGTATCGCAGCTCTTCTGTATGCATCACACGAACCGTAAATGAAAATAGAATTAATTTTTTTCTTCGTGTAAATTGTTTTTTAATAAAGCTCAGATCATCGAAATGTCATAGAATAATTGAAATCGTGACCATAATTTGGGCACAGTGGGGGAAAAGGGTAACGCGACAACTGCTTAAAGTCCAAGATTAACTGAAAGTAGTAGAAATCTGATATCTGTAAACTATTTTCAAAACAAACCTAAAAAGTATTTCAAATTGCTGAAATATTCAAAAATATTAAATATAAATTTAGAGATGAATATGAGTATTCAAATATTAAAACTAATATTAACCATACCCTTAAAGTTACCTCAATCGTGACTTTAGCGTTAAAATCCAAACCTGTTGCCATTTTTTGCTGAACGAATCGAGTAGATACAACACTGTTGTCAGTTACAAGTGTCAACAGAGTTGTATTTTTGAACCATGTTTTTTCTCCCATTTCCTATGTAAATTCTTACTAAAAATTATTCTCATTTTCTCTTCTCTCCTTCCAGCAGGACTTTGATTTCGATCCCCATGTCGATATGGACATGTTTCCACGCAGCCGCTTAGGACGCATGGCCCATGATCCATTCGCTGACTTTGGTGCCTCACGTAAGCGTAGTAGTTTACATGATCCCCCCTTTCATTCTGATGTTTTTTCTCGTTATTTTGATGATGATCCAGACTTTGGGTTCCCCCAGTTCAACTCGCTGGGCCGTCGTCGTGTCAACAATCCACATCACGACGAAGATTTCTTCAATCGTTTGCCCAGTGAATTCCGTCAGTACATACCCGAGGGTTTTGGCCATCGTCGTGCCACCACCGGTGGAATGGCGCCCAACGTGCATCCACAACAGATGCCGCCACAGCCACAGCAGACACAAATGCCACCAACACCACAGCAGCAGCAAATGCCACCGCATTACTATCAAACCATGCCAATGCCGCAGTCACCATCGAAGACGGTCTGTGATGCTGCCATCCAAACTGAAGATCCAAATGCCGGACGTTCGGAAGTCGATCATGCTGTGAACACCGAAAATCTCAATCAGCATGGTCTGCGCAACACCATGGACATGGGTGTTAAGTCAGCTGTTGAAAATGAGCCGGCTGGTGCCAGGTCACATTCAGCTCCACCCAATGAACCACCACAGCAACAACAGCACATCTATCATCCCCAGCAACAGGTGCCGGTGAATGGACAACGTCAAACACCTCCCATGCAACAGCCACAACCCCAAATGAGACATCCCCAGTTCGGCACACAAACTAGTCCCCCGGTCCAGAAGGCCTACTATGCTCCACAGGCCCAGGCACATCCCCAGCAAAAGCAACAGACACCACCACCACAGACTCCCGGTGGCACATACATACGTACCATACCGATATTCGTTGAGGGTCGTTCCGAGCCCATTATCAACAACAGAGACATACCCAATCAGAATGCCACACCCAGCTCTGGCTCTGCCTCGGCCCGGGCCTTTACACCACCCAAACAACAATATCAGCCACAGTCACCTTTCCAATTCCCACAACCTCAACAGGGTCAGACACAGCCCCAGGGTGGCCAGCAGCAACAACCACAACAGCGTCCCACACCCATCAATACTCAACAGCAGCCCCAACAGCAGCAGCAAAACACAGGTCTGCCACCTCAAACTCCCCACACCGTGGACTCCATCAACAAAATCCAAGATATACAACGTGATGTCCTGGAACTGATGACACGCGTGGAGAAATTCACTGGCACCCGCAGTGACAAGGAATATGCCTATCTGGATGAAATGTTGACGAGAAATCTCCTGAAGTTGGACAACATTGACACCAATGGCAAGGAGAGCATTCGTTTGGCCCGCAAGGAAGCCATCAAATGCATACAGGCCTCCATCAATGTATTGGAGGCCAAGGCCGAGGAAAACACCAAGGCAGCTGAGCAGCAGAATGGCTCGGACAGCACACCACAGAAAAGCTCCTCGGGCAACAAAGTAACCAAAGACTCTTCACAAAGCAAGTTGGAACAGGCCGACGAACCCGTCGATGCAAACAAAATACAAGAACCCATACCACTGCCACCACCCGAGGGCATGGTGAGCGAAAGCAAAACCGAAACACCTGCAGAAGCCAATGTCACAAAACCCGAGGAGGAGGAGAGTAAAACGGCCTCAGCGTCAGCTGAAACAGCCACGGCAGAAACAAAAGAGGAGACTGCGGAAAAAGCCAGTGAGGCTGCCGCACCAGCCACTGCTGCTGCTGCTGAAACCAAATGATGATTGGAGAGGAAACTATTAGCCCAGAAAACCACAACCAGCAACAGTCGGAGCAGAAGTAGTAGCAGCAGCTCCTACAGGAAGGCAACTATTAAACAAACCACAATTTCCAAGCAATCTCAACTCAAGTAATGAAAGAGGACGTCCCAGGAGAGCAGAATGATTGGATTGGTTTTGGAATGACAAAGCGCAGTGGCATAACTTTGCAGAATTGAAGTTGATTTTCCTTGGCAAAAATAAAAACAAAAGAAAAAAAATTAAATAAATTATGGCGTCCAACAAAACGAAATTAACGTAAATTAAGCAACACAACAACAACAACAACAACACTATATTAATTAACTATTTATTACAAATTTATAATAATAATAACAACAACAGCAGCAATAAGCATAGCGTCCCGCTTACTTACATCCTCCCCTCCCAGGAAAGATAACCCTAGCTGTAGTCTGAGAAAACAAAAAGCATTGGCTTGAAAGTTCTAAATTTAGAAAACCATGTAACATGATTGGTTTTGCTGTTCTGTTTTTGTATTCCTAGACAAAAATGCGGAATTTTAAAGTGCTTTATCATGAAGAAGTAAAAAAGAAAACAAAAAATAGAATCAAAATTTAGCAATAAAGTGCCTATAACTCTTATGATCTTTTTTCTATATACATACATACAAACATACATAAATATATACTTAGACGATTTTTATAGAGAAAGAAAGTCGGTGTTTCTTTCTGATTATTGTAGTTGTAAGGCTTTGATTATTAAACATTTCTTTAAAATAATGCAAATTTTCTGTTTCTCGAGCTTTTTTTCTGTTTCCGTTGCAAATTGAACCAAGCAATGAGCTTTGCCTCCCAAAGGGATCTTTGCAGCCATTGAATTACTTAAGGGTCCAAAGATCCCAGGCGAGGCCAAGGCATTGCATCTGCTCTGATCTTTTACCTCCACTAAACTATTTACAAATTAATTGTTTCTAATGCTACTTCCATTTCGATTTCAATCAATTACTTGTTGTCCACTGTCTTTTTTTGCGTTTCTTATTTTAATGCCATTTTATATTTATTTTTATTTGATAACAAAACGAACGCAATCGATGATCTAGGAATTGATTAAATTTCCTCTTCTGTTTCTTCTTTTTTGTTTTGTATTTGTAATGTAGTAGTCGTTTTTTTTTTCTTTTTTTTTTTTGATTTTAAGCGATTCGATTTGTCACGTATTGCATACGATGATAATGTTATTTATAGAATTAAAATAAAAGAAAAAAACATTTGAAAATCATCTAAATATAAATAAAATAAATTTAGATTTAGAAATAAATACAAAAAAAATCACTAAAAATACAATGTGTATGACAAAAGAAAAAACCCCGGCAATAAAAAACGGAAATATTATTTGTTAAAAATTATAAACAATAAAAAAATACTACAAAAAATAATGGTTTTGCGTTGCTTTTACTTTTTTAAAACAAAAAAAAGGATTTTCGAAAAAGGTAAGGAAATGGAATTCTAATCCCTGGTACCATAGAATAATGCTCTGTTCCAGAACAGGAATTTACTAGTTTTGCGATTTTTCCCCGATATCATAAAGGAAGAAGTAAACCAGTAAAAAAGAAGTAAGTTCGGCCCGGCCCAATTTTAATAACCTCCACCTTTGAAACGAATTTGGAAATTAAAAAAAATCTTTAAAAAATTCTTTTAAAATCTTAAAAATACCGTATATAGCCCTTATACTGGGGTCTATACGAACACGTGGACCTGCATAGGAAACTTTTGTCATAAGCCATCACAATATTCAAATATGAAACTTGAAAAAAAGCCCGGTGAATAAAGTAGCTTAAATCATCAAAATATCGAAAATAGGGAGGTACCAATTTATGGGAGCTGTACCAAAACGTGGACCTGCATAGATACTTTTCTGTCATAGGCAGTAATAACCATTACGAACTTCAAATACCAAATTTGAAAAAATTTCGGTTAATAATTTTGCTAAAATCATCAAAATACCGAATATAGGGTGGTTCCGTTTTATGGAGGCTAGTCGAAGACCAGGTCTGGCCCTACAATTTTCTGTCATCGGCAGTAATATCCATTACGAACTTCAAACAATGAAACAATTCCGGTGAATAATGTAGTTAATTCATCAAAATACCGAATTTAGGCAGGTTCTGTTATATGGGGCCCATCCGCAATCACCATCGAAGACGGTCTGTCATGCTGCCATCCAAACTGAAGATCCAAATGACGGACTTCCGAACGATCATGCTGTGAAGACCGAAAATCTCAATCAGCATGGTCTCAGCAATGCCATGGACATGGGTGTTAAGTCAGCTGTTGAAAATGAGCCGGCTGGTGCCAGGTCACATTCAGCTCCACCCAAAGAACCATCACAGCAACAACAGCACATCTACAACGTCAAACACCTCCCATGAGGGCTATACGATATGGTGGACCGATATTTCGAACTTGACCTGCCTGCAGACACAAGCCTGATGTTTGCAAAATTTTAGCTTCATATCTTTATTCATTTTGGCTCTATGACTGTTATAGCATATCTTCGAACTTGCCCTGCCAGCCGATAAAAGACAACTCTATGCGAAATATTAGCTCTCTATAACATGCCGTTTGGACTCAAGCATGATTACAACAGACGGACTTCGTTAAATCACTATACATTTTATGGGGTGTTACAAACAAAATGACAAATTTAATATTCCCTCCTTTCCATGGTGGAGAGTATATATAATATAGCAACCATTCCAATTTGTTCCATTAAAAGTTTGAAGACCAACTTAACATTTCACAATTTATTAAATTTTCCTAGCAATTTTGATTAGAAATTATTATTTTCATTATCGGACGTTGGTGTTGCGCCAAAGAATTTCTCATATTCCTCCTGCCGCTTTTTGGCTCTGGCCTCCCGCTCCATTTGGCGTTTCTTGGAAAAGCGTTGATGTATGCGTTTCATTTCCTGCACCTCTTTCATTTCCTCTTTGTCCTCATCCTGAAAAGGAAAGAAAAAATATGAATTCCTTCTTTGAATAGAAATTGCAGGACCTCAATTCTCTTTTTGTATGAAAATGTGCAATTTTATAAAGGAAATATTTCATATTTCCATAAAAAAAGTTCTGAAATTCGCATTAAAATTCATCTCAACTTACACTCATATTCAAACGCAATACCAAAGCCCTGCGTCCATCCGACATCGGTTGCGAATATTGCATGAAATTCTTCAAACGCTCTGCCGGTGGCACACTACGTTCCACAACCAAAACAATGCGTGCCCATTGGCGCTGCCATTCATTGCGTATCTCGGCAATCTTCTGATACGTATTACCCATCATGGCAATCAACATGTTAACCAGCAACACACTGACGATCACCATAAAAAGGAAGAATAAAATTTTCGCTTCATATTCATGTTGCGTAGAACCCATGGCCCCGTAATAATCACCGAAATTTGTCAGGGACATTAGAAACATGGCCACCACTGATTCCATGGGCGATGGCATCGGATTTGTGCCGGTATCATCAATTTCCTCCGGTGTGGCAGGATTATCGAAGGTCAAAAAAATAATGTAATAGGCCTGGGAAAAGCCCATCACAAAGACCAAATAAATCGAAACGAAACGTATCAAATCTCCCATAACCATGCGATAGATCATCACAACGAAGGGACCAACGGTCTTGAAGCCTCTGGAATGAATATAAATTGAAGTTATTTTAATTCATAATAATTCATAATAATTGATGTTGTCCAGCTTACCGACAAAAGAACAAAAAGTAGGGAGCCGTGGTAAGCATTATCATCACCGCCACATGATCATCCAGTTCGGTGAGACAGGATAGCCTTAGCCAGGGTATGGTCATCATTAGGCAGCAGGAGAACAAGAACATGACCCTGGAGGGTGCCGTCATCTAGGAAGAAAATGTTTATTAATATTTGACAAAATCAAGGCAAGGCAAAAATAGTCATAGGGCAACATTCCGTCATGGACTAATGGATTTATAGACGACAAAATGCTCTCACTCAAAATTGTCAAGAAATGTAGGATATTTGTCCCTTGATATCTATTCCATAATAAAATGTAGGTGTACATTACATGATGGCATCAAAAAATACGCCATTAGTCAAATGAAATTCTTGAAAAAGTCAATTAGGTCGAATGGCTCAATCGGCAGGTAGACTATGCAAAAGCTTGCCGACAGTCATCTGGATAAAAATATAGAACCAATATACCTTTTTTTATATATGGTATGTTTCAGAACCTGCAAGGACCTAGTAGATTTCTAATTTTTTATCATATGCTTTGTTCCAGAACTGCAAGAATGTAAATGTTTTTATTACGATAACCGATTTTCCCTTTATGATATCGGAGAAAATCGCAAAAATAGTATATTCTTGCAGGTACCGGAACATAGCAATAGGAAACATTTTTATATTCTTGGAGTTCTGGAACAGATCAACATTCATTAGTCTATGGTTATGTTTTCATAACTCGATCATTTTCTGAGTCAATTTTTTATTGCCAATTCACTCTACTTTACTTTAGGTTCTTGAACAGCATTTGGTAGTCTTTCGTACACGCCACTCTCATTACCCAGTAATGAGTAAGGAGTAAGGCTGAATGTCCACAACTACTTACCAGATTTTCAACAAACATTTTATAACCCAAAAACTTGGCCTCTCTCAGGGCCGATAACAAATACAGAATCGCTCCAAAGAAGATGACTATTTCGGACACAATGCGGAACTGTAACAACAATGGAAAATGACAGCTATTAACATTACCTCAAGATTTCCAGTAAAACACTCAAATTCTCAAAAACATTACCTTCGCCAAATTCGTTTCCATATCCATCAGCGGACACTCCTCATAGCTTGCCCACCAGGAGGGCATATTTTCAGCATTGGCATCGTCATCAATGTACTCACTAAAGTTAAGCCAAAATGTTTCTAAAACAAAGAAACCATCCCGTAATTCATCCATTAAAACAAAATAGTTTTGGACCTGATTTATTCTCCACTTACTGTAGGGTAACTTTTCAATGCCTGTCACTCTACTGGCAGGTGTGGCATACAAAAGTCTGGCATTTGTGGTGGAATCATTTCCTTTACCCGTCGAATCATCCGCATCACCCTCCTCATCTTCATCCTCAATTTTGGGTCCCGGTCGGGATATAAAACTCACCAAGGAGAAAAGGAAATAGAAGGAAAACATATAAAACTGTTTGTAAAAACGGGACTTGACAAATGTTTCCCATTTCGTTTTAAGCAAGTCAATGACCACACCATCCAACAACTCCAAATGTTCCAATTTGTCCTGGGAATAAAAATTCTTTTAGTTCCTTTTTAAATTAGGGATTCAAAATAATACTCACCCCAAACACCACAAAATTCAGCACCGAATCCTTGTTTATATTCCCAGTCTTAACATCAATGGTATCGATTTTCGACAAAGGATACGCGGCACATGTTATGCTACCCAACTGCCAGTAAATTTCCCTCTCTATACTCAAAATGTGGAAAAACATTTCCACCCGAGCCAACTTGGCCGCCAATGTCAGGGGTGTGAGATTTTGTACATTCCGTATGTGGATATTGGTGCCCACCTCATAGGCCACATCGAACATGTCGATTTTCTCATAGATCACCAACATATGCAACACGGTATTACCATTGGTATCTTGGCTATCGGGATCAGCACCACGGGCCAACACCAAACGAAAACATTCTTCCTGCGACAAGCAGGCAGCAAATGACAGTGGATATTCACCCCAATAAACATAGCCATCATAATTGGTCATGGGATGGACACCAACATATTCATGTTCGGGGGAGTCATATCGCGAAGCCTTTTGATCTTCGGCCGACATAAAGGCACCACAGCATCTGTGGGGAAACCACAAAAATAAGACTTTGGAATATAACATAATTACTCTCTTTTTACCTCTCCTGGACATCAGCATTGGCATCCAACAGATATTTCACCATTGCCGGATCCTCGTTCACAATGGCAATGTGTAACACCGATTCTCCATAGTATTCATCGCTCAAGTAGATATCCATAATGAGTTTGGGATAAAATTTCAATAACCTCTTGGCCAAATCCGCATGCAACGAAGAGGCATTGAGCAGGCACAAGTGTAGAATTGTTTCACCCACAGCACCTCTTTCCTGTAAAATGGAAAATACAAACAAAATTAACTTTGTTTTCCTTTTGTTTTAAATCTCTCTCCTTTAACTTACATTCAAATTCCAACAAACAAAACGATAGGCACTCGGATTTGATATATACTCCGCCTCCGACACCTCGGAACAGTAGTCGTGAATATTGAAATCTTCATCGGGATTTTCAAGGGCCCGTATTTCAGGCAACTGTTTTGTGCGTGCCCTCTCTTTGTTGCGTAACAAAACCATTTTCGAAATCGGAAAATAACGACCAGCTCCTTTGTTATAGAGAAATGGTTCCACCTTGGTTTTAATGGCATGATCTATTTCGGCGAATTGTTTTGTTTGACAGGCCCTTTTCATCATGTCCACCAGTAGGCCACCACCCTTTAGATTGACAAATTTGTACAGGGCCTGGGTGGAAACTCCCGCCTGTTTCTTGACACCACTTGTAACATTACTTTCAGTATTTCCCATGATGACCGACCAATGTAAGAGCTATTCAATTCATCAGTTTAGGGATCGAAAAATCTCCAAATGCTATAACATTTCCAAAGAAAATCTGTAAATTGTACACTACTCTACTTTTTCAAAACTGATTATTTCAAGCGTTTGTTTATTTCTCAAGTTTTGGTTACTAACATCATCGATTAAACAAATGTTTGGGAATTTTTTGTTTTGTTTGGTTACCATGCTAACAAATGGCAATGCTATTCCATGAACTTGACCTGCTTGTTTTGCGGGGATTACAACGCTAAGGGATTTTTTTTCGGAAGGCGGTAAATTTGAAAATTTAAACTTTAGCTTGTCGCAGATGTAAGAGCATTGCCATCAAAATGGATATCAAAAATTAGGACTAAATAAGTGAAAAATTCAAACGCCACTGATCTTAAATTTCCCTCCAAGTCAAAGGTGAAAGGACTTGAAAGAAATTTTTGGCAAAAACTGATAAATCGTGTCATTTTATGGGTAAAAAAATCATATGCATTCCCAGGATCTTTAATATGTCTCGCACAAAAGTTTAAAGATAAAGAGAAAGTATCCAATCAAACACTATTCTAACTCAACTCCCAAATAAATATACCAAACTTTTAATATTATATAGTTTGTTTATTGAAGAAAATCATTGCACAATAATAATAATAATAATAGTTTTTATTTATGTATTGCGCATTTTGTTGTGTACATGTTCTTGTTCTTGACTGGTTTTTCCGTTTTTGTGAATTCAAATAATAAGAAGAAATTTCTTGTTATCTGTTGGTTGATTGATGCAAAAACGACTGAATAAAGTATACACGTGTACGAATGTATATATTGTTAATACTTTTCTTTAAATATATAGTTATATAAATGGGAAGTATGGGGGAGAGTAAATATGTTTTGTATATAATCTCATAGGGGTTTTTAATGTTTATTATTAATACAAAGTAAACATAATAAATTGCCCTTAATAACTGCCATTATTGTTTTTTTTTTTTTTTTTTTTTTTGGAAATTAGATTGGCGGCTGCTCTCGAAGTCACATTTTAACTGGAATATTGAAATTATACACTATTTAAATATTTGATTACAAACCAACGCTTAAAAATTACCATAAACGCTAAGCGTTCATCTTATTTTGTATAATAGATAGAATTGTGATAGCATAACAAATAATAAAAGAGAGATAGAGTTGAAAAAAGGAAGTTAACAGGACGCAATGTTAAAACTTAAGGACGTCATAAAAACATATAATAATAGAATACATTATTACATCATAAAATACAACTTTAACAAAACAATACAAAATGATATGATTCCTTGTTTTTTGTTTCGTGCAATCATAATAAAGATTAACAAATGAAATTAAACCAATAGATGATTGGCACCAATGGTTTACATACTGTCACAATGCTAGCTGTGGGGATAAATGATTACTTCTGATGTGATGATTAGTTGCTGCTGATTTCTGTTCTCCTTTTAAATACTTTTGTGTGAATACTTATGTGTTGGTGTTACCAAAAAAACTGGTGATTGCTAGTTATTGCTTATTATCAGAAGATTTTGTTTACGGTATAAATTTGGAATTTGTTTTGTAAGTTATTGGTTTTTCATTTTCTCTGCTACTACTTGTGGTTTTCTTTGTAAAGAATAAAATGTTGTAAATTCCCTTATATTTAGTCTATAATTTCGACATAATTTGCCGGAAACAGTCCATAAGTGCCATCTGGTCCAAGACCTTGCCACCAACCCTCATCGATTTGGTCAATGTGGGTGATGACATCTCCAGGATCAAAGGTGATTTCGGTTTCATCAGCTAAAAAACGCAGTAAAAGACTCATAAATCCCTTTCTTTCATTGCCACAGTTTTCAAATAAAATACAAACCTGCCTGATAATCGTACAAAGCACGGGCCCTCAAACCCAAATCACCCAAGGTGTCTTGGCATATAAAATCATCTTCATTGACCAGATCATTAACTGAAATTAATTAAACAATTATTTAAAAATGTCTTGTAATCAAATATTTCCTCCATCTCACTTTCATTTCTATCCATGTAACCATTCTTGGCGGTCGACGTTGGTGCCTGTGACTGTGATTGTTGCACAGTGACGGAGACCTTTGTGCGCACCACCTCCTCCTCTTCGTCTTGGTATAAAGCTGTATCGGTATTATTTGACGATGATGTATCATCTGGTGATTGCAGTGAATTTGACTTGCTATGCGGTGATCGTTTAATGGTGGAATATTGTTCAGTATCTGGCTCCAGGGGATAATCATCGATGTTATGGTTATCATCATCATTATTTGCAATTGCTGTGATTTCAGGCTTTACCGGTTCCAGGGGACTGTGGACCGGTTCAATGTGTTCAACCTTAACCACAGGGGGCTCTGTAATTGTTGGAACAGTTTTCTCTGGGGCCTTAACCTCTTCAGCTATTATTGCCTGTTTGGGTAAAGTAATTTTGCCTGGTAGTGGTTGCTGTGCTACTGGGGTGCTTTCCGCTGGCTGCTGTGGCTGATTAAAGGCATTAATGCGTTGAGCAATGGAATTACGTGCTGGCTTGGCTGGGGGTGCTGTATTAAGTCTGAAATTAAAAATAAATTAACATCGGCCTTCTTCAAAATATCTCTTGAAAACAACTTACTTGTTGATTAATTGACCTTCACTGGTGTGCTTGGTAAACATGGCCTTGGCTGCTCCTACCCGAGAGCCTATGAGCTCTTTGGCTTCTTGACTGCGCTGTTGTCGCATGCGTTCGGCCTCTGTCAATGCCGAACTGGGCATGGTCTTCTCAGGGCTCAAAGGTTGTGGTGATCTAAAAAAAGGATATATTCTATTGAAATATTTATTGCAATCCAAACGTTTAGTCAATGCCTACGTTTTAATAGGTACATGAGCCGGCTGCAATTTATTGTTCATTTGCAATTTCTTTTCTCTTTCCAAATGTTCCTTTTCCTCGCGGGCTCTTTGCTCCTTTTCCAATTTGGCTTGCTCCATTTCTCGCTGCTGTTTCTCGGCCTGTAGACGACGCTTTTCCTCCTCTTCTTCTTTCTTCCAAAAATCTTGCATAACTGTTGGATTCAGTTCCTTTGTGGGTATCACCCTTGTATAGTTGGTGCCAATGGGTGTCCTTTGCTCCTCTTGCATAGTACGTGGCTCTTTGAAGCTATACGCCGAACTAACTGTGCTCAGTTTCTTGAGCAAACGTTCCAAATCAATATCATCTTCATTACGGGCATTTATTGTCAAATGAGCCCCCGAAAGTACTTTGGCCACATCGCGTATGTGATTTGCACAAGTGCCTTTGCGCAGCACTGGGGCACCTTCTCCCTACAAAAGGATAATTTAAAAGCATTATTTACGACTCATTTATATGGTATAACTCATTCATTTTTCTCACCTGCCAATTGATCAAGAGGAACTTTTTCAAACCCGTTTTGGGATCTTCTATGCGAACAAAGGCATACATAATTTTCCCACTGTTCAAATCTTCGCATAATTCTTCCACACCGCCTTCCCCACTGCTTACCAACTTCAAGTCATTGCTCTGTCCCTCGTATCCAAACAAAGCCCTATAAAAACGATCAGCATTAAAAAGCCAGCTCACATTGTGTTTATTGATATGCAAATTTTGTTATCGGGGAGTGCCCCTCTACGCTGCGCTGTCATACATACCAATCTGTTGGCGATTTGTCATCCAAGACTTCTTTCCATGCTCTTTCAATTTCTGGCCGATGTTTCTCGAAACTAATGGCCATTCTTGCAAGTGAAAGATAAGCACTTTGTTTGCTTTGCTATTGTTTCTGCTCCTCTCTCGCCAAAAGACCAACTAACACAACACGGCAGAAAGTAAACGACCTTGAGTCAATGCACAGCCACCTGCTTTGATGCACACCGCGCTCCGGCAAGTCGATGACAAATTTCCTATTATGATTTTGATGAAAATATGAAGTTTTTCCACACGCTTTCACCTTCACACGCGTCTTGCATGTGATAAAGATTAGTTTTCAGTCAGTAGTCAATGGCTTTTTATGCGCTGACTTTCTGTCGCTGCTGTTTTCAATCTCCAAAAAAAAAAAAACAACGAAAAAAGGAACCTCTCTATGCACGAATTACAACAAAAAAAACTCCTTAGGCTGTATAAAGGCTTAGGAATTTTGTAAATTGCCCGAAAATACTGCGTTCTCCTCTAAAATACCTTATCTATTTTCACAGGAATTATTGATTATTCACTAAATTTTTATAAAAAAAATAAGTTTTGCTTCCAGTTCCAAGTCAATTCATGTCCACTTCTGAAAACACTCACACAACTTAAATTAGTCATGACGTATGTTCTGAAGTAACGTACTCAAGATAAGAACAGCAAAAGGGAGTCCAATTAGTGTGGATGGTAGCGTATGGCAGAATTCAAAAAATTTAACGTAAATGTTAGTAGTGCAGATTCACAGTTTTCAGCTTTGATATATAACTAATGCTGAAACAGACATGTTGCTTAATTGCCGTTTACACAACACATAGTTGTTGGATAGTTTTTTTAATGCCTAACAGTTTCTGGGACAGTTGTTGCTAACCATGTTTGATATTGGAAATCAATTTGTAAAAACGAAACAGAGGAAATATTGTAAAAACCAAAAAATGTGTAGTGGAGAGAAAAATAAAAATGAAAATCTAAAATTTAAATTCATAAATTCATTGTACACACACAAAATCAGAGATGGAAACTGTTTTGTATGCAGTGAAATTTGACAAAGTAAATTACAGAAAATGCTGGTAATGTTAATCTGAAATGAAGTTACCTTTATTTCATTGTGCCATGGTTCACCACATAGAAAATATTAATGATTTACATTTGCTGTGTTCATGTACATATTTAGTGGTAAAAGAGGGAGAACGGAACAAATTTTAATAGTTAAGTTTTGAAACATATGTGTTATCATGCTACCATTTTAACTTGAGGCGGATTTATTTAAACTTTATGCACTGTAATTGATAATAATATTACTGCTAGAGCTTTAAGTTCTAACGCAATTGTCCACATATAGATTAAGGTAACCTAATTTCAAATAATAATATCAAGGGCCTGGGCCTCAATTCTTGTTCTATGAAAATGTGAAATGAAAACTTTTATAAAGGAAAGATATGTCAAATGCAAAATTTTATAAAGGAAATATTAAATGAAAAATATCTCCCTTATAATAATCATGGTGGAATTAAGAAGGCAAAGTCATGCAATCATATGCTTACAATTTCTTTGACAAGATTTCATTGCCAAAATTTATATTCATAAATCTATTGTAAACAAACAAATCAGAGATTGGAACCTGTTTTCTTTGCCATGTAATTTGACAGGGTAAATTACAGAAAATTCAGAGGTGGGAATGCTTGTATGACATGACTTTTCCTTCTTAATTTTACAATGATAATATTTTTCATTTGATATTTCTTTGTTTTATAAAAGTTTTCGTTTCACATTTTCATAGAACAAGAATTGAGGCCCAGCTCTGTATTTATCTGTAAATTAGCTTATCAAATTTAAATTTAAACATATGATTGCATATCGTTACCTTTTCAATTTTCCCATGCAATATGTCATATATACACACGTAATTAAGAATTGACGTATTGTTTGTTTCACATCACCTTAAAATAAATAAATATGACAAGTGTGAATTTCGTAAATCATGGGATTTTAAACACGCATATGTAAACATGCTTATAAAAAAACCTTTTCTAAGTTGAGTGCTCTGTCACGATTAGTATTGACATTACATTGACATATTTTTAAATGTTTATATAAAAACTCCGTTGATTCAAGCCCAAAATAGTTCTGTACACGTTACGTAGTTACATTGGCAGTAATCGGCAAATGAACAGCTGTTTAAAAGTTCTTCTCCAGAGTTGTCGACTTCTTATGTTGCAAACAAAAAACGGTTACTTAAACAACAAATGCATCAATACACTTACTAACAACCATATCCCCCACAGACTAGTCAATATAATATATAATTTCTTTTTTCTTTCTTTTCTTTGACTTTATCATTATTTTTACAGTGGAAAATAAGATTTATAAGGTCACTTTATTCTTGGCATTTTGGGTATTTTTGTAGTAAACTCTGGGAATTTCCTTTCGCAAGACATTAATTGCCGTGAAAAAGAATGCCTTGGCAACACTGCTTACCCAACGTCATAAAAATTTTTCGCATTCCTTTCATCAAAATTGCGAAAATTTAGTGAATATTCTTTTGATTATTAAGGAGTCCAATTTATTTTCGCCACCAAAAATTGAGAAATCGTAAGCGTTTCAAATTGAGGACAGCAGAGGCTATGAAAGAATGTCGTAAAAAAGTGCACAGCCAAAGAGAAATAGAATCGTAGAAATCATTTGCTGGAATGGAATTACAACAATTGTTTTGAATTTATGAGGTAGGTAAATGATAGCTGCCATTCGTTCGTTTGGTTGGTGGTGCTTGTTATGTAGTGCTGGTCTACTGTGTGCTGTGTAATGGTGCTTTTTTTGTCGCTTTATGGGTGACCTCCAAAATAACAAAGTGATTTTGTGAGTGGTTGTGGTGAACTTATGTGAAGGAATGTCATGCCGGTAATAATAAAATGTAACACTTATTTTTTTAGAGTAGCGCAAAAATGGATTTGTTATTGTAAATGGATAACCCATTAAACACCCATGTACGTAGCACCCATCGAATTCGTCCATTGCCTTAAGTTTGATTTCTCTTCATCATCGTCATCCTCCACAAACACTGACTTAGTACTCTGTATTCTTATGTGTTTATTGCTCTTGCTCTGGTCTTGTGTTTGCCCAAACCTGTCCAAACCTCATCGTGCTTATTACTTCTTCATCGCCCCACTAACTTCGTTTCGAATCCATCCATCCATCCGTCCATGCGGGCAAACAAATGTACACACAAACATAGCTACGTACACACTCAACTGAGACCAACGTTACGTTCGTTCGCATCGTCCACACACTCCAAAAGTAAGCAGTTTTGAAACAGCTGCCTGACTTGTTGTTGGAAATGACTAACAAAACAACGTACGGCCTATCTCTCTCGGTTTGTGCTTCATCTTCTCTCCTCCTCCTCCTTCGCCACTCTACAGTTTGCATTGTTTTCTGATACTTCCCTCATGTTCGACTCCCTCCTCTTGCTTCTCCTACTTCAGAATTTGTATCAGGGCATGACGACGACGACAACCAGCCAGCAGTGAACCACCACCACACCATCACCAACGATCGTCCGTCATCATCATCGGCGTGTAGAAGCAGCAGCAGCAGCAGCAGCATTACCACCACCAACAACAACAAGTTTTACCATATGGGTTGTATAGAGCTGATGACTGGCTCTACAACCTGGCCCCGCCAACTTCTCGGCCTCAGGCTTGGACTGAACCACGAACCACTCTAATCTACAGCTTTTTTGTGCTACCTTTTCATCCTACTCCTCCTCCGGGTGCTTGCATCTTTTGCTTCTGCCCGAGCATTTGTGTGCCTGTGTGTTTAACTGATTTGCCACTTTTGGTTTGGTGCTTTCTTCAAGTGTGGTGTTGTGATGTTGTTTCATTACTGCTGCTCCTGCTTTTGTTGTTGTTGTTGTTGTTGGTGTGACGTTTGCCGGTTTTGCTCTGCCATTTTTAAGTTTTATTCGTCTGTTTTCTTGTTGTATTTCGTCGATTTTGTATACTTTTTTGTTGTTGTCTTGTGTTTTTCGCCAAGTTGCATCCCAGCGATACTATTAAACGAATACACAGGCCCAGCCGCAGTAGGATAACCAGCAAACGACCAACAGTAAGCAGTTGCCCAACAAGTAATTCAATGTACCGAGTGTTATTGCTCAAATGGTGGCTCAAAACTTTTAAATAATTTAACACAAAATATTGTCCATCCAAATCGAGCAGCATAATAATCACAAATTTTATTGTCTTCTTTTCAGGTCATTTTGCCCAAATTGGTATCATTGTTTTTGTGTTGCTGCCTCTGAGCTCTGAGTGCGGTTATTGTGTTTTGTTCGCGCCGTGTTTGCGTGTGTGTGTGTTTGTGAATCTTAAGTGAAACATTGTGAAATTTCACCAAATTAATTTGCATTTGATCAGAAGATTTAAAAGCAACCAACACCACCACCAGCGCTAAAAACAAAAAAGAATCTCAGAATAAAACTCAGTATGAGTTGGAGTTTGGAGTCGCTGGGAATTGCCGATTTTAATTTTTGAAAAAAAAGATAACAGCTACAACATTTACGCGCGGTATTGATTTGTGTGCTAGAGCGACTCTCAAGTAAAAGTAAATTTTTAAATCTCTTTTGTGCGTTACTTTTCGTGTTATTGCTATTTGCTGACTCCCATCCCATCCATCCACCCACTCGGCCGAAGAAATTGTGAAAATATATACTCTGCAAATTTGTTGATAAAAAAGGAAAATACGACAAATGTTCAGTAACCAGCAGACATTTTGACGACAACGGCATAAGGCAAGCAAAGAAAAAAAAAAGAATTCAACACAATATCTGTTTTATCAACGCCACCCGCCGCCAGCCTGCCAACCAGCCAACAACACCACCAACAAAATTAACAACAACAAGACAAATACTCAACCAAAAAATAAAATCAAGCCAAAACTCGTTTGTGTGCAACGAACAAAAATATATTTTTATTTAAAAGAAAAGAAAATTTTGAATTAGAAAAGGAAAAGAAAATTGTGAAAGTGTCTTAAAATAGTTGAAGAAGAAGAAAAATCAAACAGAAAAACAAATAAATTTACTTCAAAATTGCATAAAATTCGGAAGAAATACACATCATAAATACTCTTTTGGATCAACAACAGCACCAACATGGAATCAGCCTTGGATGTTTTATCACGTGCCGCCGCCACCATCATGGTGCAGCAGGACAGTGCGAATGGTAAGAAAGAAAAGATTTATTGCTCTTGGTATTGACACTGAAAGCCTAAAAGCATGCAACACTTTTTTGTAGCGATTTACTATTTTTTGAGGCGAGTAAAGAAGATTTGTGGAATAACGGTTATGCAATTTTTGTAAACAATAAACAGTTACAGTTGTAATGGTTGTTTGTGTGCGAGGGATTCTGATCATAGTTGTTCAAGATTTTTGGGAAAATAAAGCCATTGATGTTTATATTACTTAAGATATAGCAATTGTACAAATGTAGCCATTTTAATATGGGGCCAAATTTGGTACAACTTTAGTTTAGTAAAAACCCTTCGTTTTTTTCGACATTGTTTTGTGTAAACTAGAGTTAAACCCCAAATTCTCGCATTCGGTATCGATAAGATAGCTTCCTCTGATTCTGGGGAGGAGTAAAGCATCAAAAGTCTGCTAGTGATGACAAAGGCGAAATATTATTGATAGGAAATAGAGTCGTCTTTAGCCATTTAAATCGCCTGGCTAATTAAATTACTGTAGGGTCAGTGTTAGAAACGAACACAAATCATGTGGCACCTGTTCCCTCAACAACTTGTGTCTCATGTTAATGAGTGCAGGACAGTGACAGAGCAAATGTTCGATCGTCTCAATTTCGGTCCCAGGTATGTAGATGTCAGGTGGGTGAAATATAACCACTTGTGTTGGCTTTCACTCCCACATTCCTTACACGCCCTAAGATCGCAGAATGTCTAAAGGATTGTCTGCGCCATTGGTTTAGTTCTCTGAATCGAAGAGCACATCTAATTGCCTGTTCCTCTACGTGTATGCTTAGTGGGCTTAAGCATAGTAAGGTGTCCAGCGCAGCCTGAGGTGTGCTGTTGAAGGCACCTGTTATTAGTAGGGATACTGCTCTTGAACTTTGTCAATGTAATATTACTTTTTATACCCTCTACCATAGTAATATCTCGAAATATACATTTTAGACCCCACAAGATATATATATTTTTGATCAGCATAAAATTCTATGTCGATTTAACGATGACCGTCCATCTGTCTGTCTGTGGAAATCACTTTAGCATCCGAATAAATTGAGTTAGGTTGATAAAACTTTACTCAAATGTGTCTTTAGTCTGCAGGACTTTTGGTATTGAAAATGGGCTATATAGGTATAACCCCCATATAACGGTACCTCCCTATATTCTATATTTTGATGTTTTTGAGGACATTCTGGTGAAAGAATTGTCTCAAATTTCATAATAATAGTTCGTAATGGGTACTACAGCCTATGACAGAAAATTGGCTATGCAGGTTCACGTCTTTGTATAGCCCCCATTTAATGGTACCTCCCGATATTCGGTATTTTGATGATTTTAGCGACATTATTCACACGAATCGTTTCAAATTTCGTCTTCAAAGTTCGTAATGGGTACTACAGCCTCTGCTTAAAAATTTTATATTTAGGTCCACGTCTTCGTATAGCCCCATATGACGGAACCTCCCCATTTTATATTCACCTTTTATTCGGTATTTTGATGATTTGAGCGACGTTATTCGCCGGAATTTTTTTCAAATTTCGTATTTGATGATCTTAAAAGGTAATACAACCTATGACAAAGACATTACTTATGCAGGTCCACGTCATCGTATAGCCCCCGTATAAAGGCATAACCGTATTTTTAGTAATTTTTGAAATTCTTCAATTTTCTTCCAAATGGTGGAGGTTATTAAAATTTCGACGTTTTGGAAAATTATTCTACCTAGTAACGTATTAAATATGTTAGCGTTTAACAAATTTCCCAACCCCAATCATTACTTTAAAAGCGACTTGAAATTGTTATTCAAATTTCGTAAAACACCTCAATATCTACTTGTTGAACCCTGAAAGTTTTTTCATTGACTGTAGCACACACAATTCTTGTTAAAGAATGTTGAAAGAAACCCCTATGGCCGGAAGCAAGGTGAATTCACATTTGACACCGTACTTGGGTTCAGTCATTTGAAATATTTTAATTCTTTGAAAAAAAAAGAGGTGGCTAACAACGAGACAATTTCCTAGTATTACACCAACGGCAGATGGCAGTGAATGAATGACAGAACATAGCTAAGTGGGTTTGCTGCCATAATTACGGTTTAATTAAGCGTAACACACAACAACAATTCCTAGAACAGCATTTCTTGGTGGCCGTTTGGTGTTGCTCGCTTTTGACATGTGTACGAGAAGTCAAGTCTTGCTTGTATTCCATCCGATTTTAATTGTTTTAGCAATGGTATGTCTAACTATGTCTTGAAATCACATTTTGTTGTTGGTTTGCAGGAATATTTTTTTGTTTTTTGAAGAATTCATATTTCATTTTTGAGAAATTCCTGCCTTAATCCCCCAATGTTTTTAATGTGCCATAAGTGGTGGATGCCCAAGGGGTATGGCAAGAGGGGCGCGACATGTTTGTTGAAAATAAAATTAATTTGTTTTATATAGCCATTCATTATGCCTGAAATTGTTTTCAAGCGTATTTCACATTCACACAAATAAAATGACAGATGAAATTCTGAAATAAATAAAATTCTTCAAAATTAACATACCAAATGGACATCTACAAAAAAAAAAAAATCACACACAACAAATATATTTATTTACGTCCACAAGAAAATATGCCTACACTCGTGCACTCATACATACTTGGCGGATTTGGACAGTAGTTTTGTAGATGGAATTTTTTAGATTCTGTTGGAATAAGTCGCAGCAATATATGGATAAGTAATTTTACATCATTTATTAAAATTCAATGTTTCATTTTTTAATAGATTTTGTTTTAATTTTTGCATTTTGGATTTTGCAACTATTACTTTTGCATTTCTGCCCTGACCACTGTCTCCATGAAATAGCCTCAATTGTGGCCACATTCATGTGTCTTTCATCCCCTCCAAAGTGGGCGTTAAGTAGGCTAGGTCCACAAACAACAACTAGAAAATTTTCTTTGGGAAAACAAAACAAAAAAATAACAAGAAAACGGAACCAATAACACAAAATAATAAGTTATGTGTTTGTTTGTGTGTTTCAACGGAATTCTTCACGACCAAACAACAATTTTTGACAATAGACAAATGGTTTTATTAAGTTTTGTTGTTGTTGCTGCTGTTGTTGTCGTTGTTTAAAGAAAAACATACAGTTGTGGGCATAAATATTTCAATAGGCGAATGTGTGTATTTCATTGGTTTAGGAGGTGGTATCTAAAGAGGGTATGCGGTCCAATTACTTTAAAAAAATTATCAAAAGAAAACATGAATTCTGAAATTCTGAAATATATGGAAGAGAGTTTTGAAATTGTTTCCGAATTATCTTATTGATTTATTTTATTGTAGGCTTTGCTTTCTCCTGAGACTTATTTTAGTCGCATTAAAATTACAACCATCCATACCCAAAATTCCTTGCATACATATTTTAATTTTATGATTTCAGAATTATTTATTGAATTTTTCAATTTTCGACACCGTAGTGATTTAAAAATGAATCATTTTCCCCATTCCCTTTTATGTAAGGGGCCTTTTGGCGTATTAACATACATTTTAAGGTCATCATGGAAATGACTCGTGAGTGAGTCAGTGTGTGTGTGTGTCCCCAACATTCCATGTAACGGACGGAATTGACAGATTCGCTGGCTGGCAGTGGTTTGTCCAAAAAATGTTCGTCCAAATACCTACCTCGAACCAAATGAAGAAAGAATGCAACTCAATGCCCCGTTGAAATCATCCTCAGTAGAAGTCTGTCCTTTCGTCTGTCCAATTGGAATGCGTATAATTCGGAATTTATTGTTGGTTTACTTTGTCGGTCATTCGTAAAGAATGCGTTGTGCGCGTCCACAACAAAATGCAACAAAACTTCCGCCAACGCATGCCAGTCCATTGTCACTGAACTGTGGTGAACACACAGACACACAAGTATACTACTCTTAGGATAGTGGGATGGAACGATGCGATCGATTGAAAACGTTGTAAATATTTGTTAAACCAGGTCATCAGATGAAATTAGTTCCACCACAACAAAGGATCAAGAATTGAAATATCATCAATATTTATTATTACGCAGAAGAAGCTACAAAAAGTCAAAGCTAATGTCATTCTCGAATACTCAGAAAAATGGTGGATCCCAAGTTGTTCAACAGGAATGTGGTCGAGCTGTCTGAAGGTGACCCTTCGAAAGAGGAGTTTTTTAGATGAGGTCCATGTGGTGGGACCACAGTTTTCCTTTAGAAAAAGTTAGATTCGATTAGGTTTCCCAAGGTATTGTAATCGAAGAGCAACCTTAGAATGCAAAGTGTTAAGATTAGAAAAGTGTTAAGATTAGGCGCCGCAATAAAAAAATCGCAATCGGTCCCAATTTTTCAATAGTTTTCCATAATGATTCACCTTATTTTCGGTCTTTCGAAAATTTTGACATTGTTTTTACTTGAATTTGAGCGCGAGGACTCTTGGAGTGAAAAAATTAATAAATTAAGTACTTTGTATTTTTCTATTCCACTCGAATAAGAGCGAGTAGGCTTTACTCAATCTAAAAGATTCTATGTTCGACGAGTATTCTTTAGTTTTTGTTATATTTGAAACTTGAGGTATTTTCGCAACCCACAGCTACAAACAAAACCAAAAACGTTGATGAGCCTTGTCGCAAACTACCAACAAAGCAAGTGGTATTTCTTGTTTTTATAGGCAAAATCCATTAGTCTCTTCTCTAAACACAAATCATCAATCAAAATGTTTTTCCGCTCGGTTTTACTCTTACGGCAAACATTTACTCTGTTTCGAGCATTTTGACTTACACTCTTATTGCGAATGCTCCTACCTAAAACAAAAGAGTGGAGAGTAAACTTCGTGTAAAACTTCTACTCTTTAAGCAATGGCGCACGCGAGTTTAATTCACTCTTGAGTAAAAACGAGTAAATTGAAGCTCTGAATTTGAGGGTTGAAACCAATTTTGCTATGGTATTGGAATTAAAGACTGTTAGAAAGCAAAGAAAAAGTTCTGTAAAAATAGCATTCGGAATATGTCTAATTCCTAATGGTTTTGTAGGGTGGGTAGTTCAGCTACAAGTTCATATTTATCTCCCTTTCACTCCTTTTTTTAATCGATGCACTTTTTTGTATTCCACACTAATTTTGTTGATACTCGGGAGTTCGAAAATCCTATGGCTGTAAACTCAGCTCAAATTGTGATAATATATTTGATACACAGTATCATTTTTCCATCCCTGGCGGTTGAAATTTTCCCATTCTGTTAGTAGTTTTTAGTACTTCTATGTTTGTAAAAGTGGTACTGCAGCGTTGAGTGTTGACGTAATGTATACGCCGTAGGGTTGATTTGAGGATAACACGTTTAAAAATTTAAATTATTATCCAAATTTCTCCTGATAGTCCCTGTGTAATTAACACAAGTTAAATGCTTTGTCTTAGAGAACGTAAGTAAATTTTCAAATACAGCAAAAATTGGAAGTTTCATCATTTTCCTCGAAATTTATTGAACTTCCCACCATCAGATTGCTTCCTCTTCCCCATAATCACCGGCAATTCAGAGATAATAGTATTTGCAAAACAAGAATTTCGTTTTATTATTATTTTATTTTATATTTCGTCTACCTATACGAAATTAAATTCCTTTATAGAAATCATGTCACTCACGTTCGCACAGTGTTTTATATTTCAAAAAAAATAAAAAAAATAAAAAAAATAATATAATTCCTTGGCTCTGTGTTGTCGTTGTGGTTGTGTTGTTGGACTTTTGTCGAAAGGAATTTCAATATTTGATTTGTTTTTATTTTTTGTGGGTTTTAAATTTAATTTGTCAAGTGCAAGTGTGTGTGTGCTTTTGTTATGACATGTTTTCATGTTCTGCCAAATTGTTTTGCCTTGCCACACACAAATTTTTGATGTGTTGATGATTGGCGGAAAAGATGGAAAGAGAGAGAGAGAGAGTGAACAAGAGAAAGAGCAAAGATCGAACAACTTATAAATACCCCAAGACAATAATAAAACATCAACAGAAATAAATGAAAAAAAAAAAAAAATAAATAATTCATTTAAAACATTTTTAATGGTTTTTGGGTGGTGTGTTTTTTTATTCACCATCCGCTTTATTTGACAAATTTTTCGCCACAAACAAAACAAGAAATATTTAATAAAAATTATGAATGCAAACAAAAGATAATTTCGGGGGCTAATGAACGACCCGGCGAACATTCAAATACATCTGTTGACAGTTGGGGGTATGGCAGCAATGCTCCTCTCCTCTCTGTCGTTGCGTTGTGTTTGCTTTGCTCTGATATTGTGTGAGAGTATTGTCGATGGGGGTGATCGATAAAGCACTCGCACTCGCGTGTTGTTTACATTTCTTCGTTTGTGGTTTGTGAAATGGTGTCTGCTAGTCGTGCTTTGTTTGGCCATTGCCATGCGGCAGTCGTGGCCGAGCGGTTAAGGCGTCTGACTAGAAATCAGATTCCTCTGGGAGCGTAGGTTCGAATCCTACCGACTGCGAGAAATTGACTTTTTATAATGTTTTAGTTGTATTTTTTTAATTCGCATAATGCGAGGCAGTAATTTGTCTTCGAAAACTAATGGTATCTTCCATATGGGCTAGATTACGCACAGTGGGATGTGATGAAGGCCCATAGCTGGTCGTTAGAGAATCCACAGAGGGTTCTAATCTTTTGAAGATTCAAATTAAGTGTTTTTCTCTTTAGAGGACTGTAGAACATAATAAAAAATTATACAGGGTGAGATAAAAAATTGCAACAAGTCAAACGCCATAATTTTTAGTTTTTTTTTTTTTAAATTTTATTGAATGAAATCAAAAAATTTTGTAAATATTTTTAATTTAGAATAAGTTTAGATGTGTTCGAATTGGCCAACTTTGGCACGAATTATGGCTTCAAACGGCCCAATGAAAACTGTCACACGCTGGACGAGTGGCTTAGAAATGACAGCAGTTGAAGGGGATGGAGGTTTTTTTATCCCAC